CGCATGCTGCCTCCTGGTCGACGTCTACATGTTTCGATTCCCACACAAAAAGCTCACAGGCCGGAAGAATGATATATATTTAGCAAATTCGCCTAATAGGACCAATCTTTTCATAATTTTTATTTCTACTGAGATCACCTGTCTCGAAAAAAACAGAGTAATGCCTTAAGTGATCTCAATATTTAGCTGTTACCATGCTTCGAAGCCAACGGTACTGCACGTAGTTCAACCTTCTTCTTGCTCCTTCGTTACAGCAGCTGTTTCCATACCGTAAAACACGGACCTGATAGAGGCAAGATACAGACCAATTTTTGTGGAAAGAGTTAATCTCCCCTCATACCATGTACTAGACAACCCTGTGGAAGAAAGGGAGAAAGAGCCGTTGTCAAAACGAAGATTACTTCAAGGCTACGATCGTTCAGTATTAAATTAACTTGTTTCAAAGGGGGGGAATGATTACTGATTAAAATCGACGAAGCTAGTAAGGAATCAACAATTGTTGATAGAATTGTTGCTTTTGCCAATGGCGCAGTATCCTATTCTCTAACTTGAAATTGAATCAATAACAGGTGACTAAGAAGGCCATGAAAATGTAAGTAGTTTGCGACTAAATATACCAAATTTGCCACAATGACCATGAACAATCGCATTGATCGAAAGCCTTATCGTAATTGTTATAAGCGCTTGTCAGCTATTGAGGGATTTTGGTGGCCATGGCGCTCAACTATGCTGTGCTTTGTATATATTGATGCTTGATAGATTGCTTATAATTATGGACTGCACGAAATTGGTCAGTGATCGTATTGGAATTACCCGTATGTAACGAATAAAAAACGCAGGAAAATGTAATTTAAGCTACAGAGAGTGCTTTAGTATCGAGAAAACATGTTCTTCGTCGGTTATTACTTTATCTACAGTAAACAATTTCGTTCGTTAATGACAGCAATAAATTTTCGTACGCTGTTTCTATTTTATTACTGTTATTATCCACAAGAGACAAGGGACAACCGAAAGGTAACTTGATGGTTCATGGCTACATTAATTCATCGTATTAGCCGACAGACGGATCATGCGCAAGCAAGAATTAATCTGAATCGTGCTGAATGTCAGACCTGTTGTGACAGTGATATGAGACAGAGCGACGGGGACCGGTGAAGGCTAATATTACTTTTTTAATCATTTTCAAGATCTTCTCTATCCAGTAAGAATTTTGTCAAACTATGCAACCGTGCAGTCAGTAAAACTCTTCTTGCTCCCATGAACAGAAAACAATAGAGTGCATTTGATCGCTCTCTGAATCAAACAGGAAAAATATGTGACATCTTAGGTGAACAGCAACTTCCATATTGTCGCTACATTAGAAATACTATAGCGTTCTAGATAGGTGGTTCAACGATTGATGGTTTAGGCACTAAACGCAAAAAATTTTACAACCTTTATTGCTGACGCGTTGTGCTACACAGACCATAACACCATCAGGACTAAAGTCAAAAATCTGAAGTACTGTAGCATTCGTTTTGTAATGTTTCTCCATCAAGAAGGTTCGATATAGTCGATACAATTGAGTAAAATATTTCAGAATCGTAAACTGTTCAAAAAATATAAAACAGATGGCAGGTTCAGTTATCATTGTGACGTCATTTGTCCCTCGATCAATGTAACAGGCAAATTTCTTCAAAATTTACGTTAAGTGCGTAATTCTAAAATCGAGATGGTAAATGATTCTTCTTTACGGTAAATCAGATTATTTCTCTCAACAGTACGTTCGTCAATCAGTTCAAAGTCAAGCCCGTGAGCAATCTAATTTCTTAGATCCGTTTACCGAACACTTTGAAAATCTCGGCATGAATGGAAACTCTGACTTCTTTAGAAGTTTCTCCAAAATATTAATGATACTTCAAACACCTGTATCAAAGGAGACGATGCAAAAATCCTCGACCATCGTGTCACTTTGTCCCGTAAACATTGACTCAACTACTGACAGAGAAAATATGTTCAATCTTGATTTTTTCCTTTCTGATCATTAACCTTGGTGGCAATAATGAAACCTGTTTATCATGAGCCCCAAACATGGAAAAATAAGTAAATTTCAATCCCCATTACCGTTAAATAATAAACGGCAGCAGTCATACTGTCAACAGACAAAACTTAGCTAACAAAATTCTCACGAATAATAATATGACTAACCTAAGAAACGAATTTGAATTTCACAAAAAAAGAACAAAGCAAGGAATCTTAAGTCGCAGGCATTCCATAGAGATACTGACGTTTCAAATCGAACTTGGTCAGTCTTCAGATTTACAATCAGTTGTGCTCGGCGTCATCTTCCTGTGAGTTCTTGACCTGAGTGATTGACGGTGCCGCGCTTGTCATTGGTCTTAAGTGACCGGTTTATGCTCACCTATCCAATAACAATGGCTACCCGATTGAGACCTTTAATAGCATTAATAAGCGCACAATGCTGAACTTCAAATTGAATCGTAATAGCAATAATGACTGAGTGACTAAAGCCAGCAGAATCCAGAACTTGACTTGCGGATCAACGCAAAACAATTGTCACAGACAAATAAACCCGTAAAAGGCAAACGCCACCAATTTTTGTAAAGGCTGGTTAAGATACCCTACCGATTGATAGAGCTTATCGTGTCACCAGAGAGTTTTTCGCGTTTCAAATAAATAAATCGTTTTTAGGCTGTTTTAGTCCGTGCTGTAAGCACGAAGTTATAAGCAGGTATTTGTAATATAAAAACCAAGAGCATTTGCTAACTTCACGGACGCATATTAATCCAAATTTGCATCGTACTTGATAACACTAAAAACGTATTAGACATCAAAACTGTATTAAACGGCGAGGCTAAAATGATAGAGCCTGGCTCTTTCAAAGAATTTAGGCAGCATAATACAACAAGAATAAACTAAAATCCTACCCTCAACATGAAACACATTAAATTTTTTCATTCTACACAGATAAAGTAGTTCGACACTAGTCTGAAATTTCAACTAGACAGCATATTCACTGAAGATTTACCCCAAACAGGTGTAACAGCTGCTCATTTAAACATAATAAATTGTTCATAGATCAAAATATATCAAGTGATGAATGAAACTTATTTCAAACCATACTATACTGCCCCTTTATTTCTAATTGCTTGGGACGACATTTCAGCAGAACACAGGTCCATGGATTTTGGCAACAGCGCATGAAAAACCGTTTGTGAGGAGCACGAGGTCACTAGAGCGGACGAAATCAGGTGAGATGCCTATGGCACTGCAAGTTATAAAATAAAATGTAGTCCCGATCTGCTTAAATGTCCTCAGTAAATGCAATTAAGAGCATTAGGATGCGTTACAACACGCCGTAAAACTGGGTTTGGGAAGGCCATTGCTCATCTAACAGCTATTCGGCCAAATTGCACATATCAAGAACCGCAGAATACGTTTTTCGCTTAAACACTAATTTTTTATAAATTCGACGGAATGTTCAAACTTTAGAATAATAAACATGACCAATAGCCTATTATAAAACGAAAAAAGCCCTAAGCGTAATAATATAACAAAACAATGAGCCAATTAATGATAAAAATAAATTTAAAAAACGCTCAAAAGTATGAAAAAAATATTTATAAAGTGAAGCTGACTCGACCCTTAAAGCATTTCGTCTTGCGCTGAAGAAGTTAGACCGTTGTAGGTTACGAAAAGTTCACTCAATAAATGTTTTTCCCAGTCTTTTTCATTAATATACAGATTTCATGACCCGATTTAGAACAGCATCTACACTTAATTTAATCCTCAAGAATTATACTTGCTCCAATGACAAGAACTTCCTTCCATCGTACACTTCATAAATATCTCCTTCAAAATGAGTTAACTATTCTAATCTTATGTCAGGGGATGTCTTCAAATTGACTTTTGCAACAATTCACATTATCATAAAATGACTTACAGCCATACTGCTCGATTATGAATAAAAAACAAACTTACATCTTTTACAGAATGACATCACATATCAAATTTAATATATACATGTTCAACAGTGTCATGCCCAATCCGTTTTCAGGGAGAGATATTATAAAACAGACTTCTACAGTATATCTATAGGTACTGTAAGTACGTTAAGAATAGACTTCTCAATGGCAAAAATTTACCCAAATGCAGACATAATTATTCAAACAACAACAAACAAATAAATAAACCAGTCAACAGCAAAAATTTTATTTCACAAGTTCGGAATCTTTTCCTCGTTTTTTGGGTCTGGCTTGTGACGCATTGCTTAAGCGCTTCCGGTTACCAGATGTGGCAAGAAGAGGATGAACGTCTAAAAACTGGCATTTTAAAAACCACCTTCACGTGACATACGCATGAATAAATACACGGCTTAATAAGTACCTCCTAGGTATATAGGAGCAAGGAGAGGACAAATAACGATTATATGGAACAATGCTTCTTATTATATTTACGTAAAAAATTGTATTAATTCGCATTCGAAGTCATCACCAGCAGTTCTACAACAAACTTCGCACGAAAAACAATTTAACAAAACAGACATAATAAGAAACAAAACAGTGCAAAACAATACCCGCTAAAAGACCATAAAGAAACATACCGTCGATAGTAGTCGAACCAGAAACAGGGATATCGACCGGTGATGGAAGTTTCTTTGTTCCGGAAACGGCTAAAGACTGCTGCTCTGCAGGAATATCCGCTGATGAATCGGTAGTGGGTAAATTTGCATAGATATTTTCTTCAGGATCCTCAATTTCAGGTGCGATTGGCAAGTACCACAAAACATCGTCCTGGCTACCCTCTTCGTCACTGAAAATATGACGAACTGAGTTCGAAAGAAATAACAAAAAATTATAACTAATATTCTTCAAACAATGGCTTGTACTGGGATGTGACTAGTAAACATTAAGTTTCACATCAAGGTGAAAAGGTGATTTCAGCTATTAATGATAGACTGCAAAAATTTCTTGTAAAATCGGGAGAATCATGTATCAATTTTAAAAACATCTGCTTCGCTAAGTTCGGAAAAGCAAAAAGCAGTGAAAGATGTGCAAATGAGTTTTACATATTTTCTTTGCAAAAAAT